AAGATCTCAGACTCAGTCGGCTAATCATCGACGGATTTTGACCGTACCGCATGGCCACTTCGGCACGGCCTAATTAACCGTTCAATTAACTCCGCCGCTTCCCAAACGCGCGAGCGCACCACTGCCGCCGTCGAAACCGCTATCGTTTATAGCCCGATGCTAATTTGCCGGAGTGGAGCAGCAGCTGCTTTCGGCGAGTGGAACCACGCGACCGCCTCGAGCTTTTTTGTGACCACGCACAGAAACGTCTTTTTGCTTATTAAACCCGGTCATCAATTATCGGTGCATATTCCATTTCTTTTTTTTTCGTCGTTCTCTATCTGTGATTTCGCGCGAAGACTGGTCAAGAGAGACGGCACGCGAGTGAAGCTTGGATTTATTATAGTTGCCACGTCTGGGTACTCTTGACAGAAAAATGGTCGACAAGAAGTTGGCCTAGTTCGAATTAACCTGTTAACCTAGAATTAGATTCGTGTTTTCTGCGAATGTAATTCTATCATCGTTCTTTTCTTCTTATTTGTGATCGTTAAACATGAAAATCGAGTGCGTACCAAGCACATTCTCCAGTGTCCCTGGTCGGAAGCATATTCGATAGACAGGTTTGTACCTCCTCGAGAGTGCAGTGTCGAATGGAAAATCATGTTCCGGCCCTTAATTGAATTTTCCGGCGCGAGCACGCGAACGTACGGGGCAGAGAGCTTTCAGCAGTTCGAAACAATTCGCCCGGCTATAAAACTTCGGTCGCTATAAATTCCAGAGTCTTAACTGCGTGACGATAAATCACGCAACTTATATGAGGGAGAACTGTGAAAACTCGTCGCCGTAGATCTATTTCCCCGTTTCGGAACTCCGTGTGGACGGAAAATTCCCGCCTAAAGGAATCGACCGGAGGCCTGCCTTCGCGCAAGACCGACGCCAGGAGCATCCAGGGGGAGGGATATATGTATTTCTGCTGGCTGGCAAGACTTCGCGGCCAGTTAAATCAGAATTCAATTTGAACGACGTTCGAGCAGGGAGATCCCCATAGAAGATACGAAATATTCATGGCGAGAATACTTTATTCGTTGTTATTCTTAGACCGCCCCACGTAGACAGTACCGTCTGTCTCTCTCTTTCTCCCCATAAATACATTCGCCGTCCCGCAACAAGATCCTGCTATTTACGCCATTTAATCGCGTTGGTGCCGCTACTGGAACTACGAAATTATCGCGGTGAATTTTATATTTGTTAATTGAAAGTTGAGTGGAATTGTAAACGGGCAGGATGAATCGTGGCGGGAGATAAGGGGGAACGCATCTCTAGCGTATTCCGTTCTTTAATCTACGATTTCTTTGATCCTTTGCAATTCTAAAGGGACTCGAATGAATTCACCTGCGCGTCTAATTGTCTTGGGAATTCATCATGGTCTGGCAATTCCTCGCGTCTTATACACGTGAATACGATTCCTGTCCGAGGTATCAGAACTGCTATGATCTTTCAGGACGCAAGGATCCAGGACAACGTACTTATACGTTAATTAAAACATCTCCCCCTCTGTTTACTGTAATAGACACATCGGTCAGAACATTGCTTCGAACGTATGGAATACACTGCGAAAAACATACTGGAATTTATTCAGGTACAGACTTATGGAATTTTGTACGTGAAAAATAAGGCCTGTCTGTCTGTCACGGTGACATTGATTAATCGAAGAACCAGTTGGAATATCTAAAAAGAACGGGTAGGAATATCTAAAAAAAAAATCCTTTTAATTCAGTGTAAAGTGTTCCAACAGCCGACGAAACATCATTGGCCGGTCGCGAATGGCGGAGCATCGGACACGCCGCGACGGAAACGCGCGGCCCTGATCGATTTAGCGCCAAATGTCGCCCCGTGTTTTACACGCCGGCAATAATGGTCGAAATCTATGTAGCCAATATTTCAAGCCACCCTTTCTCGCCCCCGTGCACGTCCCCTGCCACCTTATATGAAACGTTCATATATATATATGTACTAGGAAAGTGTAGCAGCCCTGGTTATTGGCTCGCATATGGTCGTCGCTCGATATTTCAAAAGTCGACGGTAAAATGGAAATACGAACGACATCGTGGAGGCTGGAAAATTATTAAAAACAAATAACTACGCGATCCAAATTCAAATTTCATCCGTACAAGTGGTGTTTCATATATCTATGGGTACAAATTGTTTACGACCATTGATAGCCTGATGTACTAAATGTTGTCTCATGAACATTATGCAAGCCACATACGTTCTTGTGAACATATTTCTTGCGAGGGACGTTCAACCGGAGGTAACATGCAGCCACGCAAAATAATTTGCTCAGGGTCGGTCGAATAAACGGAATTTAAATACCTCAGGGGGGAAGAAGAGACCCGAGGAGAAGAATGATAGTCCCCGGGGAGAGATACATCCGAGAACGGCAAGAAAGGATCCTTCCCGTAGACGGGACGCGTAATTTACACGCGACGGGACTACGTTACACAGTTCACTGACTTCAAAGATTACTTTTTAAGGGGCACTTGACCGCGGTCCGTCTTCTTCTACGTTCAGTTTCTCGTGTGTTGGTCGCGTGTCGGTTGATTCTTGATCCGTTAGTTCCAACGGAGGACAAGATTACATTTAACAAGTGCTACTGATAACCAATTGAATATACGCAATGAGATTAGACTTTAAGAATGTAGAAGAACGATGAAAATAATTTAGGTGAATGTTGTTAGCTCAGTTACAATCCTAGTAGAATTTGCAGCATAAATTAGAAACAGTTAAAAGTTTTAACAAGAAACACTAAAATATGATTAATTGTGTCCTAGATGCTTGTTGGGCGATATATTACATAGAAAAGGTTCAATCGCTCCCTTTAGAAATAATAATTACCATCGAACGCTATATTTCTTGCAGGAAAATTTAACAGGAATCTTGATTCTTCGACGTTTGTAGCTATTCGAATGATATATCGTTCGACCTCCACCCGTTTGTCCAGTGCGACTATATAGGTCTATTAAAGGGCTGTTGCAGCCTCCAGATCCGAAAGGATCATCGAATCGTCGAACACGGCCCTCGGAGCTCGTGGGTCCGCAACACATTTTAGGGGGGTGCCATCCCTGCTCATTCTTCAAAAACCGACCAGTGCATATGTCGGCGCAAGAAACATAATGTTATCAAGCTGTCCAGCGGATAGAGGCTGTCGTCGGACTAGGAGCGAAGTCCTTGGAGGGGAGACGACCGACCTCGTCCTCGGTCTCCTCCACTTCGTCCTTATTGATATACCGAATAAACACACTTGGCAGCCGGGCACCGGGATAGCTTTGCCAGGCAAATAGACTCGGAAGGGCTGCTCTCTTCGACCTGCAGACCGTCGTCCTTAAAGTGGACACAACCATCGGAAAATCCTTGGTGATACGATTTTCATTAAATACTTTCACTATTCCGATAATAGAAAATGAAACGAAAAACAAATGGAATTAAATGGGAAAATAAATAAAACTCGAGGACCTTTGGTGTTTCTTACCCTCCCCCAGAAACACACAAATCTTGCTCGATTATATTGTTCTTTAATTTACTGCTACTCGGAACAATTTAATATGACCTAATATCAATCTGACATTTGCCTTCCATACCCCTAAACGAATTCCACCCCTAAAAGTCTACTTCAGCCAGTAATTCATAGAAACACTCTCCGAGTCCTTGGAGTCTCGCGTTTCAACTTTCAACCCCTATCGATCCGGTTTTAGCGCACCTTGTGTCCAGTGGTCGGCTCGACGGTAAATAAAGATGGGTAGTTTTCCCATCAGCGTGCACACACGTACACCCTCTCTATTCCGATTTTGTGTCTACGTGCATGTGTGTGTGTGTGTGTGTGTGCATGCGCGACCCAGACGGTTTTAAATTCCGCGAGTCAAAGCGATGTTTGACATGGAAATGTTGAACGATGCATTAAACATGCCGCGCGGAGTGCTTCCTCTCTTTTTCCCCGGAAAAAGGGAAACGGATCCCCTCCCCTCTCTTGTCCTCGATCGTATTGCCAGCAAGAGAGGCCCGATCAGGGCCCCAACGCTATTGTTCGAGCAATGTTTATTTAAGCAAACGAAAGGAGAGTAGCCGTTCCTCCGTTGAATTCAGGAGTTTCGTGGACGCTACTGGACCCGGTTTCCGGTTCGGATCGATAGCCCCGGCCGATGGAACGTCGCGTTTTTTCGCGCCGCGGCGCCTCAGTCGAGGTTACTCTCGATGATTTTCTTTTTCTTCATTGAATATTTTTAATCAATCGACGAATGTTCGACACCTGTGTTCGATAGAATTTCTAGTGTCTTTATCGGGAAGATTAACCGAGTTTCAAGTCACGTTACGATAAAAAATAAAAGATTGATTAATTATAGTACGGGCGCTTATGCGAATACGTGCTTCGATGACTATCTTGTGAAACCTAGAATCGATCGAAGTTGTTGCGTTTGTTGAATTAACAACGACATAGAGACTTCGTCAGTCTTTGTTGTTGAAGTTCTATTATCGAAGAATTCACGAACGAAAAGAAACAAATCTTCTTGTGTTTTTGTGAAATTGTCGGTTGTTCGTCGTTATCAGTGCATCGGGAAGACGATGAAACGCGGAGGGAGCGTCGCGAATCAGAGAAGATCGTGATTGGCGGGTAGTCACGTTTTGTCGAGGGTCGGAAACACGCACCTGCGCGAGGGGGCAATTTCACTGGACCTTCCCGTAAAAGGAACTGCCCTCTCTCTCCATTGTCCGGCAAATGACATCAAGCTTATTGCATTATTTAAAGATGCTCGCCGAAAGAGCTGCTTTAAGCCGGTTACCGTTCGGGTTTACCGTCCCAGTTTCTTTTTTGCCGCGGGAAACAACAATTCAACGATCGTACAATCTCAATCTCGCCGTGCATTCGCGAACGTACTAAATCCGGAAACGTAAAACATGGAGAAAAATGTTCTGTTATAATAATTTGGAAATTAATGGATAGTATTTAATACAAATTTTTTACTTACCAGGAGAGATGCCGAGTTTCACGTGGAGGCTACTAGGGCTTCTGTGATCGGGAGTGGTCACGGGGGCGGCTATGGGTGGTGACAGGTGGGGGAGTGCCGGTGTTCCGCCACCTGTCGTCGTGGTTGTGGTCGTGGTTGCGCAGGGATTTAGGGGTGAGGTCCTCTTGAAAGACTGCTCGGTCCGCCACGCGACCTCGTTATCGCCTATCCAAACTTTACCTGTAGGAAGAGTACGATACGGTTAATAATTTGCTCGCGTACCTGCACAACATATTCTATAAGTATCAAAAAAGAAATAATGCTGTGCAAGTAGCAGGAAACTTATGGCGGTGTCTTTGTCGAAGCCACAGTAATCTCAAGAACCTACCAAAGATGGTTCGACAAATTTCAAAGTGGTAATTTTTCATTAAAAGACAAACCTAGGTGAGAAAGACCAACAAAACTTTCCTTTATACCCTATATAAAAGCTGCGATTAGAAATTCGAAACTGCGTTCATTTGAGATATCATATTTATGAATTACTAAATATTCGAACAGACGTCATGAAATCTCGATCGAGAAATTTCCCAATGAGGAGAGAAAGTTCGATTCGGAACGAGAATAACCAACGAGAAATTACTCGTACAGCCGCTGTACGTGATATCCAGGCGGCATCAAATTGCAAAAGGAGTTCCCGAAACAAATTTCCCGGAGCCCCTTCCGCCCTGTATTAATATAACTCGCGTTGGGGTCTTTGTGTCTGCGCAGAAAATGGCTTCTCCCCCTTCACGAGCATCGCGTAATTAGCAACCCTCACGGATCCCCCTTATTCCTGCCAGTTTTCCGGACTTTCCCTCGTTTCCCTTAATTTCCAGGAACAATGCCCGCTTCTGGATGCTGTTCTGCGCTGCAGTGTCTAATTACACAGGGGTCCAAACGGAACGTTTCCGTGGCCTCGTACGTATACACGCAGGGTGTATCGAATTTTCGCGGTGCGTCATTAACGAGCACAGCTAATGATGGTTCTAGCAGAACTTCGTATAAAATTTCCTTTTGTTAATACAGGAAGCGATTTTGCTACTGTTATTATTATTGTAGTGCTTTATAATTTTTTTCCAAGCACCTACAATGTATCTGTATATCCTAACAATAAATTATTAACATTACTCTGTAAATTCTTTAAATTTCTACAAATATGAAAACTTCATCGTCCACTTACATAAAATAGTATACGAATAACGTGACCATTTTTAAATCATAAAAAGTTTCGAATAACAAATGAAAGATACAAAAGTACTTCTCATTTGTAATCGTTTAAACGTGAAAATTCCAATTTTTATAACACAAGTAACACTTCTCCAACAAGTCGACATTTGACAAACAATTATTTCATCTAATCAACCGTTTAAATGTTTCATTATTCGAGTAGAATTATGTCCAACTCTGCCTTCAGCAACATAAAGTGGTCCTCCACTGAATCTCAGGGACGATCGTCAAGTGCGGATTTCCCAGACACCCCGTACGTGACGCATCGAAGCCACGGAGAAACACGCAAATACCATATCACCCCCGCGTTCATGAAACGTGACTCAGACCACGGTATTATTTGCTTGATGAATGATTTAGTCGTGGAGAGAGAAAGACTTTGGTCGCGGTCTCGGTCTCTTTCTATCAGCATCTCGCACCCCCGGTCTGTTTCTCGTTCGTTAACGAGGGAGAGAAGACGGGAGCGAAAGAGAAAGATAGACAGCTCCGAGGGAAACGAAGAAAGAGATAGAGAGAGTGGAGGGACAACCGAAGTGTTCCACGGGCGGTGGGAGTCTGAGGGAGCGAGAAGAAACGTTTACAGAGTGGAACAAGAGCGAAGAGGAAAAGCGGCCGGGGGAGGTCGAAGAAAGTGTAGCTGGCGCTAACTAAGGGCGTCGGCTAATCAATATCATCAGAGAATGGCCGCTGACCTCCTCCGTGGAACGGTGGACCCTCCATTGTTCCGTATGCCAACTTCCAGCGGGCTTATGAGAGCGAAAAAAAAGAAGAAACGACTCCATCTTAGCTTTCGCTTGCAATATCGAATTCTTTAGGGTTCCATCTTGTATTGGGGATACCAGCGGGAGATACACTGTACTTTGATTGGGAAAATTAGTGTCAAGAATATAAATGGGTACGATGCTACGGTTAACCATCTAACTGCATTTATTTCTTATAGTAGAGTCTATTTTATCAATTTAGCAACAATATTATAGGGAATATTTTCCGACGATCGGCAGAACATAATTTTTTCGAATGATATCCAGACATTAGAAAAACGGTGTTACTATGACCACCAGTGCTGTTATTTATTGTGAGAAAGCATACTGTTTATAAAAAGAAAATACTTTAAAAAATGTTTTACATAGTCTAAGAATTAACCATTGGTTCTTGATATGAGAAAGATTCTTGTACAAGAGACAAAAAGATGCAATGAAAAGTCTAATTGATCGACTTCAGGTAGGTGGGTCAATAACCGCGATTCCTCGCGAAACGAGCGAACGTAATTGAATTTTCCAGGACCCGGATGCTGTGGAACCGTCGAAATCACCGCCCCTTTAGGGCTGGTTCCGTTTGTCTCCGTGGGGTGGAAGAGGGACCGTGTAGAGGGTGAGCATGCAAACACCACGAGATTAAAGGAACCGTCGATCCAAGCCGTAGATTCTGGAATCGTGGCCCGGGGACACGCCTCGGGCCGTACAAATCCAAAAGAGTTCTAATATTGCCGGCGACCCATAGCCAGTTCGACAAATTAATAATCGAGCCAATTTCCAGGACACAATTCGACGACCGATTCGAAAGCTCCGCTCGAGCGAAAATAACGAATTTCACAGGTGAACGGATATATGCGCTTAAAACGCGCCACTACTGGCGATAAATGAATCGCCTGTGGGCGAATTATTGCGCAACAACACACGCGGAATAATTAATATTTCGAGGTATACGGCGCGGTATTCGAAGGCTACTCTCGTTTCGCGGAGAAAGAAAAGAAGAATGCAATTACTTGGCGTATCGCTGTGGATACTATTAATTAGAGAGAAAATAAAAATACCGAGGGTTACAGAGGAATTCCGTGTAATTCTGAATAATTGTCTTTCTCCGAGGGATTCGATCTTCGGTTAGTTATTACGGTTAACACGAGATAGAATAACTCGTTTGCAGTGCTGGGGGGTGGGGAATAGGGAGGTTCAAGCGGTTTTAACAATATCAAATAGCACATTGGTGTGAGATAGAAATTATTTATAATACTACAGTAACAAGACAGTAATAAGACGGCTGAAAAGAACTATGACTGCAAAACTCTGCACAGAATAAAATCTAAACCTAATAACTCCGAAGAAAGTCACTGGACAATATCGTATGCCAAATTGTTTACATATTATCTCCGTTAATCACATTTGCTAAATGATCTAAATCAGCTCTGCCAATCCAAAGACTAGAAAAAAAATCTACACAACGGTATCCGTGACATTTAATGGTCCTTCGAAATCACATTTCCCCCGAACCAGAAAACAAGTATATTACCAAGTGTACTCCGGAAACAAATTTCCACCCTGTTGTATCTCCAACAACAGTAACCCCTGTATTTCTATTGCCCAAAAAGTCGCGAGAATAGACTCCCGAAATTGTATCGAGCCGAGGACCAGTTCGCATAAACAGAACCATCCATTTCATGATCGGTGCGCGCCACCCTTTGCGCTGCCACTCTACCCCTCATTCGTTCGGGCAGGCGCGAACTCTATTCACGGGTTTATCACTGTCCAGATAACAACGATTTACCTATGGACGGAGTAGGGGCACAACGTTTCCGAGGGTCCGAGCCGGGGACAGTGAAAAAGGAGAGAGAACTGAAAAGAGAGCAGAACGGAGCGGTCGTAAGAGGGGGCCAGAAAAAGAGAGGGAAAGAGAGGTGGCCAGCCACCTTGCATTCAGAAGTATTTCACTTTAACGGCCCTCCGGGGGATTGGCCTGACCCTGGTCGCCCAGACCCTTCACCGTTTCAGCATAATGGACCTCTACATTACTTATTCGTTCTGGCCAATGTCCTGCCAGAAGCGTCCGCCGACGACGCTCGTTTCCACGTCCTTCCATTTCCGTGCGCGATTAATCGCGGACTGGCATGAACCTGCGTGAGTCTACCCGGTCCCTGTCTCCTATTCTTCATTGGACGACGAACCGGGTGGGGAGGTGGGTTTTTGTGCTGAGAATGCAATCGTCAATTCGGGGACGACGAAAAAGTCTCGGAGAAATCTTTTCGTTGCAGAATCTACTGCGCTCGGTTTATTAATTGAGTTTCATTCGTAGGAATAATAACAGAACAAGGTAAGAAAGTAAACGACAGGTAAATTCAGGACAAGGAGAACCCTGTTCATTTTTGGTGTAATCGTATTTCGGTGACACGAAGCAATTTCGCAAAGTGATCTATTCAACTTCAACGAGAGAACGAGATGTGTAATTACCATAAAACAACCTTTCAAAGAGGAAAGCTATACGAAAAGCTAAACCGTACATTCCCTCGGTAAGGGAGAAGACAATTTTAATTCGAGGAGCCGCGCGAATCCGACGCAACGGAGCAGCAATTTATTTATTGGAGAAAGTGCTCGAGGGCTGGCCCTGTCCACCCGTGCCGGTGGTTCGCCTGTCCTAAGCAGGATTCAATTTGGCCACTGCCCACGATTCTACCTTCAAAGAGGAATCACCATCGTATATAGACCAGGCCGCCCTCTCGTCGACGTGTACAGGCCTCGGTCAGCGGCCTCCACTATTAATCTTATATCGAACGCTTTATCCGCGTCCGCTTTCCCCTCCTCTTCCTCATTCTCCTTGGTCCTCCGTCCGTTCTCGCAGCTTTCCTCCGTCTCCTCCATCTGGACCCGTCTCTCGCCACCCCTCGTCGACCTCTTCAACCCTTGGACGAGCAGGAATTTTCAATTCTTTCGAGTACCGCGGGAAAACAGATTGCTCAGGGCTGTGTAGTCGCGACGCTGCTGGTCCCGAGGACAAAATTTCAGGTCGACTCTCTGGACGCTTCGGTGAACGCTGTCTGGGTAGGTACTTGTGTTGGTGCTTAACGCGTGACTTTAGTTTTCGTCAGGTTTGAAACAGTGGGGGGTTAAAGTTGCCGCGGAGGCTCCAGTGAATGTGTCGAGTTCGATGGGATTTGTTTGGTCACAGTGCTACGTTTCTATAGGACGTGTTAATCGAGACTTTAG